TGAGAACCAAAAAATTGAATTGCTGTGGCCTTAAATGATTCATGCTATCATTTGAAGTGTTTTCTGACTTTATTTACAATCTCACTTTTATGAAAACATGAACATATAGCTTGTTACTAATAGTTGCAGTGCCTCTCCTTGGTGCTGAATTACTAACTGTAGTCCAAATATTTGAAAAAAAAACCTCTGTGATGTTCATTTTGTATGGTTAAGTGTACCTGGCATTATAGCTGTATATCCAGATCAGTTACTGGCCCCCTTGCTCCTAATAGTATTATCATGGCTTTTCAGGGTGCATTTTCCTCAGCTACTAGCTGTTTTATGATCGAGTATAAATCTCATGGCTAGTTAGGCAAACATGAAATCATTGTAGCTGAACCAAGAAATGGCTTAAAATTCATTGTTTGAATAGATGCATCTTACCTAGAAATTTTGGTGCACAAAAAACTGGGTGCACAACATACATGTAAGTTATGTGGTAGAATGTCAGCAAAACGTTATTACAAACCTTACCACCTCTCTCTTTGGAGCTTGAATCTGAAATACATAGCAAACATCTAAATCTTAAAGAAGTAATACAGCAAAAGTTTTATTATATTTTTTGGATCGAAAATTTCTTGAGTTGGCTGTGTAGTAGTGTACAGATATAGTACTTTTATGTACATAATCCTAGACAAATATCTAGGTCTACCCACAGTCAGACATTAGGTGCACAGTTCCAATTTCGGGTGCACAAAACTGCACATTCACCCAGCATTTCAAGTCCGAAATAAGTAATATATAAACGAAAGTTCCTTTTAATGTGTTAAGACGAAAGCACCTTGCTCGTGAATCACGGCTCCATTCCTCCTTTGAATCTCTCTTCAAATCTGTCTCCAGTATTTATGTCTCGTTTCAATCTATCCGGGAGAGGCCTTGTCGGCGTCAAATCAGAAAAATCCATGTTTTTCAATCAGCGAGTGTCAGCCAAGCAGAAGACGGATAGATGGGAAAGTGATGAAAAGAGCCGACGGGAGACTAAGGCAGTCAGAGACAAGAGACGCGGTGAAATTTACGATCATATTATGAAGGAGAAGAAAATTTACGCCTGGAGGCATATCGTAATAGCCCCGGATTGAAGCAGGCCTTATTAGCATTGTAGCAAAGCACTGTTGTCAGTCACACACAATGCCGGCTTTGAAAGGGATTTGGAATACATCAGCAAACTAGAAAGGCAACATTTGCAAGCAATTACAGCATATTTCACTTCATCTCCTTTCCCATTCCAAAATGGACTGTTCCATATCAACCCTTTGCAGAAATGGACACCCCAAAGTTACTTCTAAACACGAATGGACTCTCCCAACATTGCCACTTAGAAATGAAATCATCTGAATTTAAACCCTGATGCAAAAATGGACTGTTCCAAAAACACCCTAATGAAAAATGGACTCTTCCAAGTTGCCACAGGTCTTTAGTGTGAAGGCTACCCCCATACTGAATTCCAGGTCATTCGGCTTTCATATAACAACACATGAACCAAACACATGCATTTCTGCTGTAAAAAAAGATAGCAAAACTCGCAAATGGCAGAACTTTGAAGAATAAGAAATGCTAGGAAAAATAGTATATTTCATACCTATACCTGTAGTATGGAGTGAAATATAAAAGACTTTTTCCAGCCATGGTTCTGAAAATGTACAAGTTTTGCGTACCGGTAGGTTTACTTGGAAAAGACATTCATACATACATAGGAGCTATAATTCTGTGCGTAAGTGGTTCCTACACAGTTTGATGATGCATGTCGTCAGTTTATGCTCAGTCTATAACCAACATCCCTTACTCAGCATTTTATGGACATGTTGGAACATATGCCATAAAATTGGCCTGATTACATTCAGCCTCCAGCTGTCTCAATTCCTGTCATCCACAAATTGCTTCCATTGTAAATAAAGATACAGTAATCAACGTGTTGTGTATGGCAACCTTTGGAGGAAATTTGAAAAGGATTAGATATTAATAGATCGTCAAAAGATCCTGAATTGTGTGTGAATATTGGAAAAGCAGGCCTTGATGTACTGGGTGCATGTATGTAATAGAAGTGAATATTATATACATTGACATACACCCAAAATTGGAGCTAATTTTTCACTGTGGGTGCACCCACATATTTGTTTACATATTTTGATTACATAAATAAACTTATTATTGTACACTTGTGTACAGCATATTTTTAACATTTGAGTGTCCAGGAAGGTACTACAACCATTTTCTTACATATAATGTTAAGTTTTGAAGTTAGCTATAACATTTTTGAAATAATTAGGTTTTGTTGATATCTTACTTTGTGCTATGCACTCAAATTTTGTTCGTCTACCATTGTTTTAAGAATCTGTGAAATCTTATTGTTAATACAATTTGCTGCCATCCGTTTTGAAGTCAACATGATCAGCAAGACATCTAATTTTGCCTTTAAAAACATCTTGCTCAGTAACAGGAGCCCAGTACGCAGACTTTTTGACAACCTACGTCAATGCACGTCAATGCATATTATGTTCTCTGAGCACACATCCTGAAGAAAAGCTAGCAGATTATTCAGAAATAGAATATTCAGAGCACACACACCCTGAAGAAAGGCTAGCAGGTTATTCAGAAGGAGAATATTCAGAGCACACACCCTGGAGGGAAGCTAGCAGGTTATTCAGAAGTAGACCTTTCAAAGCTCATTATGCGTTGTTGAGTGTACTTGCACTGACAGGTCGACAAAAAGGGCATATCCTGTCCATTACAGCAATATATCAACTCCAGACTACACTTCAGTGCATTTATCCAATAAAAACATGTACGTACGTATGAGTAGGGCATGGCAATTTGTTCCAACAATTTCTTATTGCTTCTTGATTGGCAATAAAGGTTATGATTTCGTCAGAAGAGACACCATAAAATATTATAGAAAGGTCATTTACAAAGATGAATGAACAATCTTAATTGCTTGGCAGTCGTACAAGGGACAATTTATGGCAACTATCATTGAACAGTTATATTACAAGACTAATGTAGCCTACGTTTAGAATTACAATATTGAATCACATTATCTTCATGTAGAGGATAGATAATTTTTGAATAGCTTTTGGAATAAGATTGTCTATGTGCAAACTTTCATTTGTTTTTTGTCCTTTTGTCAAACCTTTGTTCTTGGCATAATCTTTGTTTTCATTGTTATTTTCCTGTTACCTTTTTAGACAGCCCCCCTCACAATCATTAATGGCTTTTCCCCAAACTATACTTAATTTCTCACCTCCCCCCCACTATCATTAATGGATTTTCCCCAAACTATACTGAAATTCGCTATCTCCCCATTATCATTAACTGTTCTCCCCCAAACTGAACCGACATTCATACCTTCCACTATCATTAATGGTTTTCCCCAAGTTCACTATAGTATTAGGATGAGAAGGTCTCAATGTCAAGAATGTCAAACTAGTTTGTCTCTCATACATAATTCAACCCTGACTAAGGGTGGCTTTTACCATGCTTGAATATCATGTTATTGAGCCTCTAGTCTTCTCTTGTCTGGTGATTCCAACTAGAGCTGTGTACCTACATGGAAACAAATTTTAGTTATAGGTACACGGGTTTAGGTACAGGTCCGGACCTGAACCTGTACCTGAACGATTTTACAAATTAACATGTTCTTCTGAACGCCTTCCATAATGACAGAAGCATGAATAGTTGAGTGTAAGTTTTGTTTATAAAGAAAGCTTATACAAAAAAAAGGCAAAACTAAGATGTCATAGTTATTATCTCGTACTCTGCAACACAAACCTGACCAAAGTGACATCTAGAGGGAGCGTTACTAATATGCAACAGATCTGTTCTGTTGAACAGAAAGGAGAATATATTAACCTTAGTATTCAAGTGTATTTTACCCTTTCAGATACACTGTAACTTTGTGTAAGTATAAATCTGCAATGTAATGTTAGTCCATTGAATAGACAGGTCATGACTGTCAATCATCATCAGCAGTTCAACCAATGAGAGACTAGCAATTAGCAGTTTGACCAATGAGACAGTTGCAGAATTTTTTGCACTTTTATGCTTACTTGTTTTGCGTTTCTAAAGACAGAGGTCTGCATAGGCTATGGGATCTGTCTAGTGTACTTTAAATTAAGTCTGACTTTTTTTATGAGAGCTTCACAATTCGAAGTTGGAACCTCTCCAACGAAAATAGATCCAAAGTACCCACTTCTTTAGATCAATTAAAGCCAAAAGCTCAGGCAACGCTTTGAAAGTAGATGTTTGCATAGATTTCTGAAGTCCAAATCAGATACTAGTAAAGCAGCTTGCTTTGAAATCTCTTTCATGTCCTGTGATGTAATTGATGGTGTCTACAGCAGATTTTATTTGAATGCTTTGTGTAATTTAGACCTGTTTGAAGTGATATCAAAAGCGTTGATGTCATTCTTTGATTGAACTGGGTCTTATTTTCACATCCGTTCTTCGATTATGTTTCTTTTGAGGACCATCTTTGGGCTTTAAACTTTCAACAAATTGTCTGAAGCAGTCTTAAGTATATTAACCTTTTGCCCACGGAAGTCGCTTTTTGGCCCCCCTCCCTCTTTTCAGCACCAAGGCTTCCTCCTTGCTTCATAGCCCAAAGTGGCAGAGCCATTCGTATTTTTATGATTATTTGCTATTTTCTAACAAGGTACAAATATACTTGACTATTTTCATAGCCTTGTTGTATCGAAGTGCAAACTGGCAGCCATGTATATTTCTCATGGTTGTTAGCTATTTTCTGACATCATACATGTGGAAACTGACAACTGTATATATATTACACTGTTCTTTTCTATAATCCGACAATTATGCCTGAATTTTTGTCATATTGTACGTGTATTTCATGTTTGGCAGTATGGTTATAAATATTTAACATGTAGTTATTGCCTTTTTTCTTTACATACCGAAATTTTCATCAACATTGTACATGTTTTTCATGTTCTATATCTATATTGTTCCAGAGCGCAAACTGGCAGCCATGGGAATTTCATCTAGTGTCAGTTACGACGACCTGAGCGACGAGGAACCAGAGTCGGAGAGCCAGCCCGTTGCCACGCCGACCGCCACCACCGCCGTGCCCGTCGCCGCAACCAGTTCCTCCCGCCCCTCCAGCTCCAGCTCAGGCTCCAAGAAACCAGGAACGGTCAGTAGTATCTACTTCTGTATCTATTACATGTAGTTACCTCCACAAAAAATTGAGGTCTTGTTTCTTGGATAGGTCTGTGTGTCTGTCCGTGTTTGTGTCTGTGTTTCTGCTTGACACTCAGGTCAGGCTGTAATGGATATGCTTGGGTTCAGTTTGTCCCAGAGGGAGAAAGTCATTAATCATGTCTGCCTCTGGTAGAACTTGCTCTTTTCACGAGTGTTTTTCATAACATGACAACCTTGACAGCTGACACTTAATGTTATTTCCTTTGCACGGTAAAGAAACACTCGAAGGTTGCAATCATTGCAAAAATCAAGAACTGCAAACAAATCAAGATTTACAGTCATGATTTTTAAGACTTCAAGTTCTTTTGGTCTATCAACTATAGGGGCTTGACCAGTGGAAGGGTTGCTAGAAGTGTGATGTAGCCAGGCTAGGGGCCTGACCAGTGGAAGGGCTGCTAGATGTGTGATGTAGCCAGGCTAAGGGCCTGACCAGTGAAGGGCTGCTAGAAGTGTGATGTATTCAGACTAGTAGCCTGACCAGTGAAGGGCTGCTAGAAGTGTGATGTATTCAGACTAGTAGCCTGACCAGTGAAGGGCTGCTAGAAGTGTGATGTATTCAGACTAGTAGCCTGACCAGTGAAGGGCTGCTAGATGCCAGGCTAGTAAGGGAGTCCCACGTAAGCATGATTTGATTTTCACTTCTCCAGCCGCAAGAAACGAGCAACGGCGCCAGTAAGCCCAACGCCAACGCTAACGCCAACGCCACGGGACCGCCGCAGGTGGACATCGATAACCTGGAGGAGTTTGTTCTGAAGCCGGCGCCGCAGGGCCACACCGTCAAGTGCCGCATCACCCGCGACAAGAAGGGCATGGACCGCGGCGTGTTCCCCACATACTACCTGCACATGGAGAGGGATGATGGGAAAAAGGTCAGGCATCATGGGAAAAAAACTGTTACAGTTCAATTCAATTTCAATTCAATTCAATTTATTTATTTAATCAGTAATTATAACTCAGGCCATTTTGGCCTGCTTTTCAGGTAATCCTGGATACACATAAAAATACACACACAAATACACAGTACATCAACTATTACTAATTACAACATCCTAAACATCAACAGTGTCAAGTCCTGCACCTAATGAACTGTTTAAAAATCCTGAGAAGTCCTGCTCCTAATGATCTCACAGTTTAAAAGTCCTGAGAAGTCCTGCTTCTAATAATCTGTTTAAAAGTCCTGAGACTAGTTCACAGTTAGCAAGTTTGCATGGTACTTGGAGAAGTTCTGATTCGTACATTACATAGGAAAAATGTGTACATGTGATCTCAACATTGAAGAATGATAGAAAGTTATTTGGATTCAAAAATCCCCAATAGAACCCACGTTTATGCCCTTGGGAAATGCACTTTAACACCTATTTCCTCACTTGACTCAGCAGTGTTCGAAATACCTGCCTGCAGTCTGCAATCTGCAGATAGATTTTCAAGATTGCAGAAGAAAAAATTATACAATCTGCAATTTTGCAGAAGGAAAAATAGGCTCCAGATTCATTAGTTTTCAATTTAGCAAACTAAAACTTCCAGGCCTCAGGGACAGACTGTTCTGAAACAACAGGAGCTTCTTCACTAATTTGCATCATCCTTGTCTTGACTTGTCTGACTTTTGTTTCCTTTTGGACTTCCAAAAAATTGTCTTCACTAATTTGCATATCAATCCATAGTTCATGCTTATAAACCTGAAGTTCTCCTGCAGTCCAGTAATGCTACTGTACAGATTTACAATGCTATATATGATGTAAAAAATGAATTATTGGTTTGAGAAGGTTGTAGTATGGAGGTTGTTGTATATTGCAGAAAGTATTTTTTAAAATTGCAGAACAAAATTTTGACTCTTCTGCAATATTGCAGAGTACTGAAAAAAAGTATTTCGACCACTGCTCAGGTAAAAACAAGTAGCTTTTATTTTGGACATCCTCTCGGATGGGACGTAATATGGAAGATCCCACCACACTTGAAAAGAGTGTGATTTCTTTTGGATGTGAGAGGATCAAACCTTACTGTCAGGTCTTACACAGCGTGTACGCAGTGTACAAAACTGGTGTGTTTTGGGGTTTTCCTTTAATGCAAAACAAAGGAGCAATCACCATGGTTTCAGCACTAAGGTCAAAACCATATTCATTTTCAAATATAGCTTGAACAACACATTTTGTAGACATAGAACTTCTATACATAGCCATGCACATGAATGTGTACCATTTTTAGGTTATACTAATGGTTATTGGTGTAAATGTTTTGTTTGATACTTTTTGTAGGTTTTCCTTCTTGCTGGACGGAAAAGGAAGAAGAGCACGACGTCAAACTACCTGGTGTCTGTTGACGCTACAGACTTGTCACGGGGAGGGGAGAGCTATGTGGGGAAACTTAGGTATGCCCATCGTCCTTTTTGTTTGCTTATTTGCATAACAAAAGCAAGACAAGAATATAACACAGAAAAAATTGTGCAGGTCGGAGAAGAGAGGAAACCTAAAAGTTGAAGTATGAAAAATTAAGTAAGAAAGCAAGAAACAGTTTAAATTGATGTTCTGTACTCTAAGAGCGGTGACAATATCATGTACAATGTACCTATGATTTCTTATATGCTAAATCAAAAATAGTTTCAAATCAGTGAAGTAAAATTTTGACATGTAAATGCTTTACCAATGGTTGCGTTGTGTATGTAAAAATAGTGTTTTGTTTTTTTCTCAAATGTTGTTTTTTCTTTCCAGCAGTGAAGTGCATTGAGAGTCGTACTGCATCTTTATGCTGTTTGAAATTTAACTGTCACACATCGGTTGGTTTGTTCTAGATCCAATATGCTTGGCACTAAGTTCACCATATTTAGCCGTGGCGTGGCGCCGGATTCCAACATGGCGATGCCGGACGCCTCCAACATGCGAGAAGAGCTAGCTGCTGTTTGCTATGTAAGAGTCGACCATGTGACCAACAACCAATCAGGGCAGTTTCTGGCTGTGATTGACAGCTCTGTTAACCAATCAGACACCAGGCTTCAACTGATGCTCTAAAATACAGTTAAAATGATTATACAGCAAAAAATAACAGAATTCATTCCATTCAAATTGTAACTGAAAAATAAGTTTTGGGTAATTTCATATGTCGATCACAGGCACTGTCCATTTGGAAAAAGTCAGTTGTTTTTGCAGCACAGGTGGAAATAGTAGCTGCAGGGCTGTCCTTGTATTCACAAATTCACGCCTTTTCTTTCCTTCTCTCTCTCAGGCACTGAATATCACAGTCCTCAATCACAAATATAGCCACAAGCAAGCTAGCTGTGAGGGGAAAACCATATCAAAAATTTTCATTAAATGCCTGAAACTATGAAATGTTTTGAGAAAACAATTGGTACAAGGTGTTGTTTTACTGACCTGTCAATCACAGCTAGCTCCATCCCTATTGGTTGTTGAGGCTGTGGTATGCAAATGAGTGACCCTTCTTCCTTCTATACAATCTTTCACCCAGCACACAACAGTTTGTCTGCCCCCCTCCCCCCTTTTCCAGCACAAGGGTCTCCTCCTACAGTTTTCTCAGTCCAGGGTTTAGAGTTAGGAAAAGTCCCAGCATGCACTGAGCCTACCTGGTTTCTGCCTCAGGTCGAACATGTTAGGCACCAAGTTTACGGTTTACGATAACGGGGCCAACCCGCTGAAATCAGGGGTCATGACTGACGGGTCCAACGTCAGGCAAGAAATCGCAGCTATCTGTTACGTAAGTCTCTCCTTCTGTCCATCTCTCCTTCTGCACATCTGTTTATTTCTCCTTTCTTCCGTCTTTCCTTCTATCCATCCTAGAAACTCTGAAGTTCTGCTTGAGCTCAAACAAGTATGAGATTGTGATTTCATTATTGTACTTCATTTTTCTTGAAAAAAAGTAGTGAAATGAACTTGAACCTTAGTTTTTGTTCCCAAGAATTTATACAGTTCCCATTCAAAGTACTATACATTTTCATACTTCATTTTTCCTGAAAAAACTAGTGAAATGAAATTTACATTAGTTTTTGTTCCCAAGCATTGATGCAGTTCCCTAGTTTTCCCATTAAAGGTACTACATGTAGTAGATATGTACAAACGATATTTACAACATGTATGATGTTGTTTATCTTTTCTTGTTTTGTTAACAGGAAACTAACGTCCTGGGTTTCAAGGGACCCAGAAAAATGACGGTTATTATTCCGGGAATGACGTTGGACCACGAACGAGTTGCCATCAAACCAAGAAACGTAAGATTTTGTCATTTTTGATATACCAATTGCAATTCCTATAGTTGCCATTGAATGCATTAGGCCACACCAATTTAATTTGTTGGTTCTCGGATTCGCCTCTTCGTTTTTTCTGATTTGCAAAAAAAAAATAAAAATTGATTCTGGTCCTGAATCAACTGAAAAATGCTCATGTTTTGCCCCCAACAGTTGAGGAAAGTCCTTTTCTTCCTAGTTGTTACAGTTTTGCCATCTATCATTGCAGTGGTTTGATTAAAAGTTCAAAATTCAATGTTTAAATTTTAACCCAGCCTTTTGTGTTGACTTCATGCCTCATTCCATTGCATTTAAGCCTATAATAGGATGCCTAGACCTGTTTTTATTTTTATTTTTTTTCGCCCTGTCGCTTCATATTTTTTCTGAAAAAATCCGAGAACCAACAAATGAAATTGGTGTGGCCTTAATTATGTAGTTACAAATTCTATGATTCCTAAATTGTGAATGATGAGAATTTTATGCCTTTTGACATGTGTGGGTAACTTAAAGGTTAACATCATTATGTATATATTATGTAAATGTACGAAAGGTCACTTGAATAATTAATGAGGACATGTGGATATTTAACATTGCTGAAGGATGGGAATTTCACATGCAAAATATTGTGATTTGAGCTAAGAAAACCACAAATTATAATACACTGTGGTAATCACAACCTTCTTTTCATAATCAATCAGACAAATAAAAAACAAAACATTAACAAAATTCTACTTATCTCATGGAGGCATGAGAACTTCAAATTCTTGTTTTTTTTTCAGTGTTTATATTTTTTTATATTTTAAACCTACAGGACAGTGAAAGTCTGCTGAGCAGATGGCAGCACAGAAACATGGACAGCATTCTGGAACTACACAACAAGACCCCCGTGTGGAATGATGGTACGGTCTAGTATGCAAATATTACAAAGTCAGGGGCCTTCACCTTTGACCTCGTGCATGCACAGTTCAAACTGTGAACCAGCATATTATAGACCAACTTCGAGTTACAAAATGAAGGCTATGGCAATTGCTTGTATAAATGTATTAGTAATGAAAGTGATAAGTGTATTACTGAAGCATGTCGACCTTGAAAACCCACAAAGACAATTATTTTTTTTCCCTCTTTTCTGCAGACACCCAGTCGTATGTGCTAAACTTCCATGGCCGTGTCACACAGGCGTCTGTCAAGAATTTCCAGATTGTCCACGACAATGATCGTAAGTATCCCTCTCTTCGAATAATCAAATCATCACATATCTTTTAACTTGGCATAGTTTTAATATCTCAAACCGATTCATATCTTACTTAATGTCACTGAACGTTTTTGTAAGTTGAGAAACATAAATGACTCATGAAGATAATTTATTTGTCTTGCATGCAAAGCTTTTCCAATTTTGTACCATGTCATGACACTGACATGAGCTGATCATGTGACAGTCATCCTCTAGACATGTGATCATCACATGATCACCATCCTCACAAGTAGACATTCATTTTGTAGGCAGATTGCTGGCTTTCTTTAAAAAAATTGTCTATTTTCAACACATCTTCTAGCTAAAATTTACTTCAAATTTTCTAGGTTGGTGTAGTCTGAAATCTTATTAACGTTTGTGTGTAATCTCTCTTTTCCCGACAGCGGAGTACATTGTGATGCAGTTTGGTCGCGTGGCAGAAGACGTCTTCACCTGCGACTACAACTACCCCCTGTGTGCCGTCCAAGCCTTCTCCGTCGCTCTCAGCAGTTTTGACGGAAAGCTCGCCTGTGAATAATAAATGCCAGAAGTACCGTCTGCCCAGAGCAATAGATTTGATAGGAAGAGAAATGGGGGAGGGGGGCAGAATACTTACATGTACAGTCAAACCTGTCTAATGTAACCAATTAGCTTGGTCGCAGTTGCCACTATAGAGTGTTTTCATGGACATGGGAGCAGATGCAGCATTCTGCATTTTCGTGAATCGTAGCTCAAATGTTTTTGAACATCTAGAGGTTTTCTGACCCTCATAAGTAACCTTAATTAATGTGTATACACGTAGCTTGTCAAAGAAGATAATATCAGAAGAGTGCTTATAAATGTTTGTTAATAACACACAAAAATGCTGTTTAATCTTGAGAAATGAAGGACACCAAAATGTTGGTTTGCAACTGTCTGCTTCAATGGAAAACAGCATGGAAAATGCTCAATTGATTGAGAAAAATGGGGAAAATTATCTAAGGGACCACCAAAAAGTGGCTACAATAGCCAGGAGTCTTTCCACAGAAGTGGTTACTGGTGCGGGTTTGACTGTACATCTGTCACCTTCACAAATGTTTTTGGAATGAAAACTCTTTACATGTGTTTTACAAAGCCACATCCATATCACTCTGAATCATGCATTGCGGCCAAGATACTTAATTTTTTCCAATTATTATCATCATTCACTTAGTCATAATTTTTTAACAAAATAAGCATTCCAGCACTTTTAGAATATATGGTTTAATTTCTATAAATAGAAACCATTACCTATGGTTTTCTAAAAATAGTAACCATCACTAAGGCCACTAAGCTGTCATGAGCTGGTCATGTGACAATCATTCTCCAGACATGTGATCATCACATGATCACTGTCCTCACCAATAGACATTCCTTTTTTGAAAAAGATCACTGACATTTATGTATCATTTTTACAAATTTCTAAACATAGTAATTGATAAAGCATTCTGTCCCCCAACTTGAAACTAGATAACATACATGTATTCTCACATGTACCTAATAATACATGTAGCATTGTAATGTGTGAAAAAGAAATTGTAAGCTATCTTGTACAGTAAATTTGTCAGGAAATTTTTGTTGAAGAAAGGACACAGTAAGACCATGCTTACTGTCTGGCCATGTGATAGGCTTGTTAAAATTAAGTTGGTTGTATTTTTCATGTATTATGACCAGAAATGTGTGTGTATAACAGCTAGCAAGCAGGTTTTGTAGCTTTTGAATGTGTTGTTTAATAAGCTTATTTTGACACAAAAAAAATTGAGAGGACCATGTAAGAAAATGCTGACAAGAATCAGTGTTAAAACAGCTAGAATTTGACAAAATGCTTCTTTAGAATGCAGAGTTAGTACGTCCACTATTGTGTCATTGTGGGTCACTATAGTTTAGCGTGGCATTTAACACACACACACACAAAAGTACTTAAATTGTCAGATTTTTACATATGGAGGACCAAAATTGTTGGCCTATATATCTCAATATATATATATTCCAACATTGATGAGTGAAATGTGGAAAAATTACTTCAGAACCATTGCTGCATTATGTTGTGACAGCTTTCTCGTAGCTTTTGTGATTTTTAAGCCATCTCTTCTCAAAGGTAACAATTGTTTTGAAGGCGTTGTCGGTAGCATTTTCTCAACAGCAGTAAGCTATTGGATTGAGTCCAAGTTGTACAAGATTGTCAACAGTTATAGAATGGCCACTGTAGTCAGGATGCCTGGGTCAAAGAAAAAAATATTTCTAAGGGAGCATGAAAAATTGGCCAGGTGGCCACCAGGTTTGAATGTGTTCATATCAAAAGTGATTATCTTTCATTGTCTAAACACATCTAAGCGTGTAACAAATATGAATATGGGACCCATAGCTAAAGCTGATTTTCATAAATTTTTCTTTTGTTGTACTGGAATATTTTGAATTTCAACAGAAAATTTGTGAATTTCAAAGGAAGAGCAGTTCTGTACTTAGACATGACTTTGTGTAAGAAGGAATGCACATTGTATGGGCACTTGAAAAGACTCTATTTTGTAGGAATACTTGTACAAAGGCTTTGCAGATTTGATGTAAAAATATGAAAGCATCTGGCATAGGGGCAAGCTCTGTAAAGGTCATAGGTTGCTTATAGGTCATAGGTCAGAAAACCTTACCCTTTGACCCCATTTTGTTGAAATATATTGTCTGCATATGTTAGTCAGCACTACATGTACATGCTAGTGGGGAAAAAGGCTGGACAACTTTCTTTCTGAACAGAAAAAGAGTAATACTGCATTTGTTTGATCATACCACTAGAAGATAATATTTTGGAGGTGTACACGTTTTTGAAAGTGCGAAAGCCACTTGGTTTGCCAGACAACTGACAATAATTTAAAAGCTGCATACTATAGTATTTGTGACTCTTTCCGGACAAAACCAACAGTTAAAGTATGTGTCATTGGTGTGTGTTAAAATCAATTGTATATTTTAATAACTAAAGATGTGTAGAAGATGATCTTTGTCTATGACAAAACAACCAAGAAGACTCATCAAAACTATTACTACAGATATATACACTATATAGATTGTGTTATTATTATGATAGTTTTTGTGCATAATTTTTGTTGGGACTCTAACCTTTTCTCAAATGGATTCAGGAAAAGGCCATGATTATTGGGACCAGGTCAGTAAGTGTAAAGGTCAAATTGGTATTTAGGACAAAGTTGAAAGGTCATGTCCCAGCAGATTATCATTGGTATCACCGCAAGTGTTTTTGACAAGAGCATTTTTCTCATATAAGGATGTATTAGTGATTTTGCCGTTGTTATTTTTCTGTTTTATTGTAATTATGACATAACTTTGCATTGTTATCTGTTGATGTACAATGTGAGAGTCTTGTATTACTAGTAATTCACCGATCATTTGGTAAAAAGCTTGCCTGGCCATTTTGTTAACGTTGCTGGAAGGTCATCATCAAGCTGCAGTTCATTCTGCAATTACTAGGTGTCGCAACTGCATTGACCTTTTCTGAGTTAGCATGTTCTGTAGCTGTGAATGTATTTGTACTGTATCACGTGCAGTCGTGGTAAACTGATGTGTAGGAATCTTTACCCACTCTGACCAACGATTTTCACTTAAGTACACAAAGCAATGGCAATGAATGTACATTATATCCCTGTATCACCAAGACATTCCATCAAGGATCTTTAAGAAAGTTTGTTTGGTTCACCTGTGTCTTACAGGTGACTTGCTCATGTGCCTGTGTTTTGAAAATGCTGCATTATTGCGTATAAGACATGTAGAATAAAAAATTAGCGGATGCTTTTCAATATCGACTAAGACTGTCACAGTGTTTTGCTTCATGTATCTCCAAGTAAATACAGTGTTGCCTACTATATAAACAATTAAGGGACAGGTGGTCACTATAGACAGGATTCTTATGTTTAATTGAGTTAATGGGGAAAATAATCTTAAGGGACCAGGAAAAAGTGAGTGTTAGAAGGTAGTCCATATGTAGAGATGGTCATAAGTACAGGTTTGACTGTTTAAAGATGTATACAGTTTAGTTGGGTATTTATGATGAAATTTATGAAATGAAAAAGAGTACAAGCCACTGTAATCTAAGTACACTATATATTTCAATTTAGGGAAGGCATTCTGGAATTCCAAAAGTTTTATCAATGTGATATCGGATGAAGTCTGATCAAAATATAGAAAAACTTGAGCACACTAACCCACATATACACCCGTATTATAAAAACTACGTTATAGTTACAAGCCCATGTTACAATGGACAGATCTTGACTGTTAATTACAGTTAGCAGTTTAACCAGTCATAGCATGCTGGTTAGCGGTTTGACCAATCGAGAAAAGCTGTGGATCGATCTCTCTTATCTCCAAGCAGAGTTTTGGGTTTTGACTTATTTTTGGCGTGTTTTTAGGCTTTTTATCGGGGTTTGCACTGGAATTTTTTTTTTTTTTTTACAAATTTTAGGTTTGCGCGAAAAAAAGATTCTAGTGCAGAAAAGAAACTCCGATAAAAAAAGCCTAAAAACGCCAAAAATAAGCCAAACCTCTGCTTGGAGAGTACGATCTCTAAAATTCTGGCCTATTCTCTCTCGCGCGCATTGATCTCCACAAAAGGCGTTACCAAGGTCACCTGTTTGGGTTACCTGATGACGTCCGTATACCTGACACGGTAATAGGTACACAAAGGATCAGACTGGTTTGGTTACACGCCCCCGTACGAAAAAAAAATTGAAAGGGGGCAGTGTTAGAGGCAGGTTAACCTGTAGTATACGCCTGAGCAAAAGGACAACAACAAGCGGCATGTAAGTTATTTTATTCCCCGATCTGTCGGATTTAGAATACTGTATACATGTATCACCGGTATACAGGTAGCTGCCATACACAATAACATTAATTCGCCGTATACGATAGGTTCGCGATATATTAAGGGTACTAGTATTCTCTTAACAGTCGTGAATATGCCGTATACGTTACGTCTTGTGGCAAGGGTGGTCGTATACGTAGAAACTTGGTCGACGTCTGGTCGTTCTGCTGTCAGAGCTGCCGCAAGCAACTTACAACACAAAAACGTCTACGACGAATGTCGCAGGCGACTTTTATTTGACCTGCAGGGCAGAGTAAAAAAAGGCCACGCCTTCCATTTCTGACGTGCGTTCTGTGTCCGCCATGTTGCTTGCCTCTTTGTTTAGAAACTGCTTGCGGCCAAACTGCTGTCTTCTCTATATGTTTGTTTCAGGTGCGTATCACCATGGACTTAAAATCTTAAGGTTGTCACCCCTAAGGAGGAACCCCTCCCTTGACTCTCTCCACTCTATAAATAAAAGCATTGTACAAAAATAACAGCAAGCTTAATTGAGGTACTAGAAATTGTAACGGTATACACAACATTGATTATATAACGAGCCTTGGTTATTTATACCAAAAACCTTCTTTTTTATACACAGAATATCCAACATGGCGGAAAGACTACGCCCCAAAGACCTCAACGGTCGACTTTACCTCGACTTAACAGGTAAAAACCTGGCGGTCATACCAGAAGAAGTTTTTGGTATCACTGACTTAGAATATCTCGACTTGTCCAAAAACCAACTGACTACCATCCCAGAAGCGATCGAACAGCTACAAAAACTGTATCGTTTGGATGCAGACGACAACAAGTTGACAAGTTTGCCTCAGACGATAGCTTGTCTGAAAGACTTGGAAGAACTGTACGTTCAGAATAACAGCCTAACCGAACTACCTGTTAACATAGGCGACTTGGGGAAGCTTGCATGGTTATACACCAACGATAACCAACTCGTAACGCTACCACCGAGTCTTTGCTCTCTTTTGAATCTCAAGATGTTGGTAGCAAGCAACAATAAGCTTCCGGAGCTGCCAGCTGGTTTTGAGCAACTCCAAAACCTGACCAAACTGTACATTGGTGGTAACAAGTTAAAGGAGCTTCCGTCGGGGGTCTGTTCTCTCCAAAATCTCGAGACCATCGTTGCCAGTAACAACGAACTGTCAACCTTGCCAGATGGAGTCGAAAAGCTGAAGAATTTGACAGAACTGTACATTGATGGTAACCAGTTCCAAGAGTTTCCGCTAGGTGTCGCCTCCTTGGCAAACCTCGAGGTGTTGGTGGTGGGCCCAAACCCGATCAAGCGGTTGCCTGATGAGATCGAAAACCTCATCAGGCTGAAATCTCTCACCATCATCTCTTGCAAGTTTGACGAGTTTCCCAGACAGATCATGAAGTTGAAGTCGCTTGAGCAACTATTTGCGGGACAAGAGGGCGAGTACTGTTTCCGGACGGTTCCAGACGACATTGGAGACCTCAATCAGCTTCGATACTTGGCCTTGTCTAACAACAAGCTCAGCGACCTTCCTCCAACGATGGAAAAGTTGAAGCGGCTTCGAGAGGTCTACCTCTACGAAAACAAGTTCGAAACCTTCCCTGAGGTCCTCTGCAGCCTACCGAAGCTATTAGTCGTGGACATAAGGAACAATCGCGTCAGTAAGATTCCCAGTTCACTCTGCCGCGTGAGTCGTCTGAAACGGCTCGTGGTTGCTGGAAACCCCCTGAAATACCCTCCGCCTGACGTCTGTGAGAAAGGCAGTGATGACATCATGGCATTTCTCAGGGATGAGACTGAGAAAGGTAAAGAAATGTTTCTTCATTCTTTGTTTAAAACTTTGATTGTTTACTCATTGAAATTATTTTAGAGAAGGTCCCTTACTGTTTGTTTTCTTCTTGTTCAAACACTGGCGAAGGAGTATTTCATCCTCCCATGGCAGGGGCAGCGGCTCCGAATTCGGAGCCGCTGCCCCTGCCATGGGAGGATGGAGTATTTCTGACTCAGGAAATTTGTCTCTTTTTTTCCATATGCAGAAGACGACCTGAAGAGAGCTTTCTGCCGCCTGGCTTTGACTGTGGACCGCCTACAGATCAAACCAACGGCCCGTCTTTTGGGACTGTCTGACGAAGTCATCCAGAAAATTCAGGTATCAAATATTTTACAACATGAACATAACATTTGATAGCGTTCTGTTACGTTCTTTGGCAATTATCTATTGAAGAAAAATTTAAAAAAAATATTAAAAACCTTTATGTTCCTTTTCCACCGCCCATCTCAAATAAGGCTTGAAGCATTGTTTTTGGAGCTGTGTTTCTGTACTGTAGTTTCTGTATATCCTGCCAGATGGCGTTTTATTTCTTGCCGTAAACATAATTAATGCAGAAATCAATAAAACTGTGTTCTGTGTTCCACTCCAAAAGAGTGTAATATAATTTTGGAAGCTGCTTGTAAATCTGCCTGTGTTTCTGCACTGTAGTGCCTGTAAATTCCGTCAGATGGCGTTTCTGTGTGAAGGGTAATACCAGCCATTTCAGATTGCTTTGCTCGGTTTGTTATGTTGTCAGGAGGAGCATCCAGACGACCAGATGTACCAGATACTGATGACGTGGAAGGAGAAGGAGGGGCCAAGTGTTACGATGGACAGTCTTGGAGGAACCTTGCAGGAGCTGGGTCTGTACGAACTGGCCTCTGCCTTAAATCCAGAAAAGGTAAGATACATGTAGATAATCAACTACTATTATTACAGTACAGATCTCGGGATAAGCATCAAGTCCCGCGGGAGATCCCGCGGGAGTTTGCGGGAGATCCCGAGGGAGTTTGCGGGATCTTCCGCGGGAGTTTGCGGGATCTCCTGCGGGAGTTTGCGGGATCTCCTGCGGGATTTATCGGGATATCCCGCGGCACGAAATCCTCTCCCGCAACCCCGATCTTCGGTGTGAGACCTTAGGTTTCCGAAGGGCCGGCGCCGCTGTTACTTGAAGTTGAACCGCGTTGACTACAGATTTTTACGCAGACGATGCGTGCATGTTTTAGTATGTTTTCAATGCATGCAAATAACAGTAGAGCAAATAGTATTTTTAACCAAACATTTCTTTTTTTTAATATCGGAAATCTGGTGGCTTAATAAGGTACAGAACGATAACAAAGTAATACAACCTTCTTGAACAAGTTTTGTGTCCGGCCTTGCGACGTGGACGGCTTTATTTTGATGTCACCCGACCCGCGCTATTTCAGATATAATTTTTAAAAAATCTAACGCATCGACGTACCAAATCGCCACTCGAGTTCTTTATTTTTCTCCTAGATAGGGGAGGTTGACGTATGGAGTTACGGAAGAGAGATTAAACATTGTGTAAAACAAGGGGGCGAAGCATAATTCAAGAGTTCTTTACGCCTCAAACTTTGATACATTTCGTGCGCCACGCAGTGTTCAGGGCCTGCATGGGGGTTACTGATTACGAATTACGCAAAATTTTCGCTATAAAGTTAAAGTTTCATAGCTGATTACGACTTTTACGCTTTGCGGCTAATATACTGATTACGAATTACGTTGATTTTTGGGAAGGTTGCCTTCGGTTTACGAAGACAATGAATAAAAAAACGCCTGATTACGCCTTACGAAAAAGGGCATGCAGAACCCCCAGTGTTGGGCCGGGCGTTCCCACGCCGCGTCGCCATAGAAACCGCACGTCGCCAGCAGCGGCGGCGGCGCTGGCAGACTCCCCGGCGCCGCCTGACCACGTGGCGTTCTGGCGCGCCAATCACAGCGCGCAGATGGGGACCCGCCCACCAGCCGGCCCGCGAATTCAAAGAGTTGAGTCAGATGCACCGCCCCACAGAAACACCGCCTGACGATTGTTATACGTACGTCGGATTGTGGCTTCTTTTTCCGCCTTGCACGGCCGGCATGCGACATTGTAATTTTCTTATATCCCATTTTCATCCCAAAACAACGTTTTTCACATGTTTGGAGGCTAGTTCCATAGAGTGTACCGAGTGAATTTCAAGTTTTATGGTCTGAGAACGAATTAATTTGCGTCAAATTTAGCATAAACACGTTTAGTTCGGGTTCTCCCGTGTTTATTTATTTTTCGGGTTCTCCCGTGTCTTGGACGTGCGCGGTTTGCGCTATCATCTAGTTGGCTGACCCCGCAGCTGACAGAAGTACTAAGTTGAAGTAGAATGTGTTCCTACCGAAAGAAACTTTGCCAGCCGTGTGGGAGTACTTGCTCCTTGCTTTCAGGGTGATAGTAATCTATCGAAATTAATTATGGACATGGTCGTTGTTGATGCAAGAGTTTTTGGGGAGGGGGGAGACGCACGCCCCGGGATTTTGATGGGCAAACTTTTAATTGTCGCAATTCTTAATACTAATACGGAGACCTCTTGATGCAAGCTACCCATGAGAAGACAACAGCTACAAGATTATGAAACACAACAACCACAAACTACTGCCGGTACGCCTCATAATTTTTATTTCTTGGTAACAATCTTGGCGAATTTACCGGAGACGGAGGGATTACTACACGTTACATTGTATTCATTCACGGTAGTTTCTTAAAGTTTGCGCTGAACAATAGCTTTGAAAAAAAAGTAGCAGTTTTATAATAACTACACTGTATGACCGCGTGAGAAATACCTTATACACATTATTTTCGTACATTCTTATGCTTCAACACCATTAAAATTGTAGCAAAATTGTAGCAAAGTTGACTGGCGTCAGACTCCATCGGCCCGGCACAGATCGCCCGGCAGGACGTAAAAATAAACATTTGGCACGCCGCCATCGCCGTTCCGAGCCGCGGTAGACTTCGGGGTCTCGCACCAAGTTTTTTCGCTACGCGGTACGCGGGACACGACAGGCCTCCCGAAAGAATACCGCGGGATATCCCGCAATCTCCCGCGTGATATCCCGCAAACTCCCGCGGGATATCCCGCAGTCTCCCGCGTGATATCCCGCAAACTCCCGCGGGATATCCCGCAAAATCCCGAATCCCGATGATGCTTATCCCGCGATCTGTACTGTAATATAGTGATGTACGATGTGCTTAAGTGTCTTTATTGAGATGGATATTGTGACATTCGCTAAAGTAATATCTTAATTTTTTTTTGCCTTCGAGTTTAGGAAGGTGTTGTTATCTGTATGTTTGCTTGTGTTTTGGAAGTACAGTTGTAAATACATTAAAGTGACATGAAGTGGGGGGGAAATTGTGTAACCGCAGACTGACAGGAAGTCAAGTTGGAGGTCAAAATGGTCTCCCGTAGGCTGGAAGTGAGGAATTCATGAACTTGATAAGCGATAAGATCATTGAGAAATTCAGGACAAATTAATAATAAAAGAAATTCACAATGACTCCCAATGCTAAGCGGATGTATCATAATTATTGCTTATGAAAAATTTTATTGCTGTTTTCCTTACGTGTAAGGCTGAAGCGGATGAAAAGGACGGTTCGTCCGGCTCCAAACCACCCACACCGACTGCGCGGGTTCAGCCCATTGTCAGATCGGTAGAAACACCAGCCAAGGTAAACCCCATGTTGTTATGTTCTTTTGTTCCCCAATGTGTTGTGTTGGTACTTGGTAGGCATCTAAATGCATCAGAGTGTCAGTAAAGCGGTGTTTGTTACCAGAGATTGACATTAAGGTCAAGTTGGCAGGTTGTGAGGAAGTGAATCTATCTACTTAGTTACTCACAGGTGGTATACCCACTCAGGGCTTTTTACAAGCTCTCAGTAGGCAACATTAGTTGGCTAGTTGAAAGTACCTCAGACCATCAAATTATTTATAATATTTCTGCCTGAATATTCACAAAATCATAAATACTTCCCAGAGGTTCGTAAACTCGTAGTTCATCCGTGAATACTTTCCTCAGGTTGGTATTAGTCATACTAAAAAAAGATTTTTTACACATTACAAGTGTTTCATTCAGCTGACGTTTTGGTGACCATCTGTCACCTTCCTCAGGGCAATTCTGACTGGTTCACATTGCACTGCAGCACATGCGTCGCTGCTATAGATGCGTTCCCAAAGTATTTACTTCCAAAAATAATTTCATCAGGTTGGTAAAACTTAAGAGATAGGGGAATTCTTTTTACACAACCAAAGAATCTCACCTCACTGATGTTTCAGTGTCTGTCAGAAACGGCTACATAAGCGGCGACAATAATTATTATACTTTGGCTACATATAGCGGCGAGATGCAGTACTCCAGTCAGAAGCTCTGAAGAAGGTGTCTGACAGACACCGAAACGTCTCGCGGCGAGGTGAGATTCTTTGGTTGTGTAAAAAGAATTCCCCTATCTCTAAAGTATTTACTGTTGTGTAAAAATGGTCTTTATTCACTCAGATTCCATGTTTTGTTTTGTTTTGTCAGCAGGAGAATACTGTTTTCCTGTCGTACCAGTGGGACCACCAGGACAGAGTCCTGCTGCTGCACGATCGCCTGCAGGAGCGAGGCTACGGCTGCTGGATGGACATCAAGCAGATGGGGGGAGGGGACAGTCTGTACCAGATGATGGACAAGGGGATCAGGGAAGCCAAGGTACGTTTTCATAAGCACGATATCAAGATAGTGTAAAGGATAAGGGGCACACCTTCATTTATTTTGGGTCTCAACTCGATTTTGCACACCCTCAAGTCTAGCGACGTCTTTTTCCAGAAAATAGTTCTGCAGCAAAAATACTGTGTATGGAAATGATTATCTCTCTAATTACAAGAACAAGAACAATAGAAATCCTATTTCTTTTAACTCTCAAATTTTAGTCAAATTTAGAGGCGAAAGGGATTTTCCGATGTGTCCATTTTCAAGCCCATAATTTAGCCACCAAATGACTGATATTGTAATTGTCGTTAAAAGAGAAAACGATTATAATAATTATATAACCAAGAAAAGTATAAAAAAGATCCGATCACTAAGAATTAGTTTTGGGCACCGATAACAAGAACTGACAAGTTTTGGGTACTGGGTGATAGTAGGAGCGAAAGCCAATGTAGAAACCATTTTTCTTTGCTAAGGACCTTTTATTTCCAAAATTCAAAACAAAAAATCAGAGATTTCAGACTTCTATGAAGTATGCAAGCCCGGCTTCCTGAATTCCCCCAAGTTGCTTCCATATTCCTACTGGCTCTCAGCCAGATTCTTAGACCCTCATGTTGACATCCTAGTTTCTCTGTCTTTTGACCTTCCTTCGTTCTGCCTGTCAATCTGTCCCAACCCACGTGCTGTCAACCTAATCTATACACTGTAGGATACTCATCAATGCCATCTGAAATTCAGTTAGAGCTTATTGGTAACTTATAGCCATAACAATATTTTGCTTAGTGCCCTGTGATCTTCTGTGCTTTGGTCCAATTAGTGCTGCATACCGGTTCACTGGACTTGGATCCGGACTTGTAAGAATGTTTAGGTTCAAGTCCAAAAAAAACCTTTAAGTCAAGAACCGAGTCCGGACTTATTACCATAAAAGACCATTTCACATACCCCTTATTTCTTTCCAAACCACCTAAAACCTTCCGTAGATTGCAAAATCTTTGCTGCAAAATGAAGAAAACATTGCCATTGGGCATTGTCAAGTACCGGCCACCATGTTATGTGGCCAAAGTTTCACCCAGACAACATTGCAAGGTAGCTAACATGCAATTTTGTATATGCCATGGGTTTAGGTCCGGACTTACAAGTCCGGAACTGAACCTAAACCTCTGGACTTGAATCCGGACCTGAACCTAAAATTGGGTTTAGGTATACATCACTAGGTCCAATTACTTATTATAAGTCAAGGAGATAATACAAAAACTTGGTTAAGTGAAGCATGAAGTATCTGCCATTGGTGTTTTGTGGTCAAGGTCGTGGTCAGCTGTGTGACGCCCCCTTACGTCGAATCCCCAAACTGCCAGGACGAAGTTGCGCTTGCGCGGACCCTGAAGATGCCGATCATTCCCGTCATGCTCGAGAAGACAACATGGCCGCCACCCGGACCCATGTCCATCCCCTTTGCACAGCTTCTCTACATAAACATGGCCAACAGTCAGGATGACGACCCGTGGAAGGGACCTCTGTTTGAGGAACTGATCAGAATGATCGAGTACTTCGTGTTAGATGCTACGGACGGAAGTCCTGATTAGGGTATAATCAGGAATGTGGTGTAATGACTTGTGTCAAGGTTTGTATGTTTGTTTGTTTGTTTGTTTTTATTCGTACATAGTAATAATTTAAAATTGAACATATTAGCACAACGAAAGAGGATGTGTGGCGGGAAGGAAAAGCCTCATGGCTTGTCTGGGATCTTCGCCCGACATTTGACCTGTCATAATAGTCACAGGTAATAAATAAATTAAAAACGTTAGTAACAATAGATAACAATGATTGCACTACGCATTTGCAGTGTGCTGCATTGTGGGTATTTGACAACGTTGGTAATAACAAGCACGTCGGCAGAACGTACTGCACCTGCGCAGAACCCTGTATTTTCACGGTTTTCGGTGGATTTTTGGTCAACGTTGCATTAGAATTTTGCCTGTTGCAGAGGATATCTTTTCAGACATAACATTTGGAAACTACAGACGAGATGTTTTCCTTATATGCGCAAATACGAGCTTATATGAGACGTTCTGCCGAAGTGCTATGTACAATACATTACGGTTTCGCGCAGGTACAGTACGTTCTGCCGACATGCTGTAATATTACATATCAATTGATCTTTATGCTGCTGTTGGTGTTTTTGTGCTGTTCTAATTAATGCATGGGAATGAAAGTGTTAAAATTGAATCACATAATATATTACTCGTGTTTATTGGATAGATAAGACGCTTGAATATGTCCTAATTTGTTGTTGTTTTTAATGTGACACCACTAATCACTAGTGCTGTGTAGTACTAGTGTCAAATTTGCTATCCACTTTGTACATGATGTAGATCAAGTTTTATACATTTTGTAAATAGCGTGATTTAAATCAATCTATCTATCAGATAATTACATACACCTCTGTGTATGGATTGTGTATGATTGAGTGTTTTCTTGTGTATGTTTCCGTAGTTATAACACACATTCTAGGCATGCTTTGGATACTAGCTGGTCCGAGAAAGGTTCCATGAATTAGGTCTTTTATTTATTGTCCATGATTTCAACTAAATAGATATTCTGTTATATTATAAACTATTGTATAATTGATTCCTATTATTTTGATTATTACATGTGCTTGAGTTCAGTCTTCTGTTAATTCTGTTGTATAATTTTGGTATATTCCATTGTAAATTTTGTATTATTTTAGTGAACTCCAGGAAGACTAGTGATTGTTTTCACTAACTGCAAATCAAACCAAAACAACAGTGACAATGGGAACTATTGTTATTACCAATTTGCCTTATTAACGTTACATCTTTGTGATATTACAGTCAACATATTATACCCAATTGTGTGCGTAAGTAAGAATGCCTTAGTAACCCCTAACCACCCTCCACATAACATCGCCCTGACTACCTCTTTGCTTGACCAAGTTTCAGAGCAGTTAGGGCGTAGTAGAGTAAACTGTTCCGGTACAGGTGAAGCAACCTGGACAAAAGGTTGCAGTGTCTGAGACGGGCTCCTAATACGGGTCCGCCCTAATACTGGCATGTTTATACGGGCTTGCACCACGGAGACAATGCATGTGCACAGAAACAACTGACTGAGACGAAATTGAGTCGTACTTTAAAAGATTTGCAGATCGAGATTCATATACCTTTTGATATTTTACATGTCGGAGTTTAGTTCTGTATTGTACAGTACTTGCAACAAGTCAGTTCTCAGAAGTTTATGATTTCAACAGTTCCCGATCCCAAATTCTTTTGTCCGCCATTTTGACGTCCCTCTTATCTACTTGCCCGAAATTCAAAAAGACCTTGATCCATAAGCCCAGGTATGTACAGCTTTACTAAATTTTTGTTTGTTTGTTTATTGAATGTTTGTTTCAGGAGATTGTTTTTCCTTCACGAACTATACATACCTTATTTTAAACGTTATGTCACACATTAGTTATATAAAAAAATAGATATTATCACTGATTCTATGTACCCTGCAAAAGCTACTTGTTTTTTAGTACTTTTCTTCGAATATTTCATACAAACATCAACTTGAAACGTTATACATGTAATCAAAAATAGATCTGCTATCATATTGTGTGGCATATTTAGACATGTATGATTTATGCCACACAGATCCAACATGGCGGCCACTCTAAACCTCCGACCCAAGAAGGTAAAAGGTGGACTACAGCTTGACCTGAGTAACAAGGGACTGGCATCCGTCCCAGAAGAGGTGTTTCACGTCACAGACATCCAGTATCTACACCTCAACAACAATCGACTGACCAGGATCCCCGAGGCTATCGGTCGTCTGCAAAAACTCCGTCGTTTGGATGCCTTCGACAACCTGTTGACAAGTTTACCTCAATCGACCATATCCCTGATGGACTTACAGGAACTGTATATTTATAACAACAAACTGACCGAACTACCCGATGGCATGGACGCTTTGCAGAAACTAGAACGGTTACTTGTAAGAGATAACAAGTTAGAAGTACTTCCACAAGAAGTCTGTCTTCTGGCCAATCTTAAGATGTTTGACGCAAGTAGAAACAAGCTTTCGTCTTTTCCTTCTGGTGTAGAAAAGATGCAGGGTTTGACAAAGTTGTGTCTTAGTGGTAACCAACTGACAGAGGTTCCACAAGGGGTTTGTTTGTTGCCCAATCTTGAGGAGTTAAGTGTAGGGTCGAATCCAATCAGACGCCTTCCTGATGATATCAGCCACCTTGGTAGACTGAAGACACTAGACATTGTGGACTGTAAGTTTGATGAGTTCCCCAGACAGGTGCTGCAGTTGAAGGCACTCGAAGAACTCTACGCAGGGCAAGCAAAGGGCAAGAAGTTCTTCGTGTTACCAGACGAAGTTGGGAACTTAGAGCACCTGTCTTTGCTGTCGCTGTCCAAAAACCGCATGCGGACCCTCCCAAGCACCATGAGTCGCCTGAAAAACTTGCGTAAGATCAGCCTCCGACACAACGAGTTTGAAACGTTCCCCAAAGTCTTGTGTAAACTACCGGAACTGGAGATGGTGGACTTGAGGGATAATCTCATCACCAAACTTCCGACTACGCTCGAAAAGGCAGCGAAGCTGAAGGATCTAGATGTGTCCGGAAACCCCCTGACATACCCTCCTCAGAACGTCTGTCGACAAGGGACAGACGCTATCATGGCCTTTCTGAAAGAAGAAGCTGAGAAAGGTGTGTAATGTTTGCACCCTCCCCAAAATGGTTATTTGTGAATCTACGGTAAAGATGTTTAAAGTGATTCTAGCTCATGAAGATACTTTAATAGGAAAGAATTAATTTTACAATACAATGATGTTGTTTTATTATTTCATTCATCTAAAGGAATAAGGCAGAAAACAGGCAAATACCAGCAGATACATCAATGCATAATAATGCCTTTTGTGTCATTGTAAAAATTGCTTATAAAATTTTGGAACGATGGAAATGTTTATTGACATTGAAATGTTTGTTGTTTATAGAAATTATTTTGACATTAATAGTGTTTGTATGTCGAACCTTATGAATGTAAACTTTCTTCCCAAACAGAAAACGCCCTGCTGCGGAAGGAGTTCAGTCGTCTGTCTCTCCTGAAAGTTGACCCCCCGCAGATCAAGGCGATTGGTCGCTCCCTGGGCCTCAGTGACTCAGCTATCACATACATCCAGGTAATGTGCTGTCCCTTACGTTGTTACTTACGGGTGCGGGAGTATTGTTTAGGGTGCCTGCTTGTCCGGATAGAGTAGGTTGACAGCACGTGGGTGGGGAAGATTCACATGTAGCGTGACAGGAGGTAAAACATATCAGGAGTCAATTCGAACCTACAGTACCTGTAAGGAGGTTTTTCGGTGTGTTTGTTTGCCTGTTTGTGTGTCCATCTATTAGGTATTTGAATACACTAAGAGTCACTACACTGAGGGGGAGTGATGTAACCGCAGACTGAAAGGAAAGGCAAATTGGAGGTCAAAATGGTCTTTGAGGAAGCGAAAAGCAGGATTGCTGGTGACAGAATCAGCAAGAAATTCACAGTAATAAATAAACGAGATATTCACTAAACACAACCAAACCTGCCCAAGACGACCACCGTGACTGACAAAAAGCGGTTAACTTCGACAAGTGGTCGCCTTGGGAAAGTTGAATCATGCTTGGGTCAATGGGGAATATTTTCGGGACTGCGAAAAAAGCGGTCGCCATGGCCAGGTGGTCGGCTTGAAGCAGTTTCTCTTGGGCTGGTTTGACTGTACTACACGGAGGTGTGAGATCTTCGACTTCTTGTTTCCAGAGTTGTGCTATACTGTCATGTTTTAGGTGAGATTCCCTGATGATGTCCTGTACCAAGTCCTGATGACATGGAGAGACCAGGAGGGGACAGAAGCCACACTGGACAGGCTGGACTCCACCCTGAACAAACTGGGACTGCACGAGTTGGTCGACACCTCTAACCAGGTAAGTACATCTACATGTATACTGTACTAATAATATGTTATGTATTACTGACAGTATGAGATATTACACGTTTGTGCCAGTGCAGGAGCAACGCCTAGCTGCAGTACACATCAGAACCATATACCTGTACTGTACATGTGGTACTTGTCTTTTGGAATAGCTGTTACACAAACTTTGTTCTTAATGCTATACTAGGTCTCCGGACGCCCAGGAGTTGATTTTGAGTCAGACGAATTGGCGGGAGTACCAATGAGAACACCGTCGACTGGCAAGTCTGGAAGCAGGTAGTATAATTTACTATAACACAACAAATAAATAATATAATGTGTGTGGATAAATTCATTGTTACCCAATGGAACACATTTTCTATCCGTTTTGATGATGACGTTAGGTAATCAGATAATTCAAACGTCGTGCGCTAAGCGGGGCCTCTGCTGATTGGATGAGCCCATACGGCGCCCAGGTAGGTTTGGCCAATCAGCGTGCTTGTTCAAATTCTGAACAACTATTGAAATGACAGATGGATAGAATTAATGCACAAGCGCAGTCTTTCTGACAGAGAAGCGTCTGAAAGAGCGTACTAAAGGTAAAATGCAGGCTGGACTCTAAGCTATACAGATACAGTCCTTGAATATACAGCGGTAACAAGTTGTTCATCTTTTCAGTAAACACGCAGGGGTGTCGGTTGACAGCAGGTTCCCTATCGTGGAGTTTGAGCGGCTCGATGCTGTGTCCTGTCTCGGTGACGGCGGCTTCTCCTCCGCGCACAGAGCCTTACACAGGGACTGGGGAGAGAATGTGGTGTTCAAGCGACTGTTAAACCGCAGGACCGAGACAAGGTTTGCTCATTCATTTTTCTTCTTTTCTTACCAAGACAGTAGATATCAAACATGTATACATAGAACAGCACTGCTTTTGTATAAAGTTTTGTAAAGCATTTGAAAGAATTACTAATTAATATATTGCCTGTCCTGAAACATTGACTATTTAGAGAAAATTTTATTTATTTATTTTGATAGTTTTCACACCATTTTCACACAATTTGACGTGGGACTTGGAATGAATAGATGACATATTTTATCACAACTTCTTAGTGAGCAACAGCTGCTATATTCCGAGGCAAGAAAACTGAAACTGGCCAGTACCTCTCCCTACGTCATCAGTCTGCTGGGGGTCTGTCTGGACCCTCACTTTGCCATCGTGATGCCCTACATGGAGAACGGCTCTCTGGCCAGGCTGCTGCGGGATGTGGACGTGCCCTGGGCCCTGAGGTGGAGAATGGCGCACGAGATCTCCCTGGGGATGACTTTCCTGCACTGCCAGAACCCACAGATTCTCCACTGTGATCTGAAGGCAGAGAACGTGCTACTGGATGAAGACTTTCACGTGAAGGTTCGTCCTTATATACAACTACTACTACTGCTGCTGCTGCTGCTGCTACTACTACTACTAACTACTACTACTACTACTACTACTACTACTGCTGCTACTACTACAGTACTACGCACGCTTTAAGGTTATGTGCTCAAAGATCGGGTTTACTACTACTACTGCTACTACTACTACTACATGTACTACTACTACTACTACTGCCACTATTACGCACGCTTTAAGGTTATGAAGCCGGATTTAGAACAGCGTATAGCCATATAGTTTCTGTTGCCTTTTTGTTGCAATGAAACTCACACATATCATGCAATATAAATCGGATCTAGAGCATTGAACTGCCAACTGAACGACGTGTTCTTTTATTTTATCCTTTGTTAAGATATCAGACTTTGGTCTGTGGAAATGGACTGACGTACGAGTTGGCAGTGAAACAAGCCCAGCAGGAGCCACACGCACACACGCACCACCGGAGTACTTCACAGACGTCAACCGGCCCCCTACCGACAAGTTTGATGTGTACAGGTACGTATTGTCAAACNCGATTGTGTGTAATG